CCAAGAGGAAAAATAAATGTGTTATACTCAGAGGACCAAAAGCTCAGAGCAATCGGAAAGAGCGCCGAATCAAAAGTAGGGGGGCGAATAGAGACTTCCAACAAATCAGAAATCCTAGCGCTATCAAAAAGTGCCTTAGTAGGACCATGACCCATAAGACGAGCATGCCACCTACGAAAAGCTACGTCAGATTTAGGCCAAGTTAGCCCCAGCGGCAAAGAATTCAGAAAAGGAGGGCCATGAGTGCAAGGAAACAGCTGACCCACCGCCGCCTGTTCAACTGCCTCCGCATTGTTGAAGAAAGGACCCAAGTAAAACTCATTACGTCCAACATCAGCGGGCGCGAGAAAACTTGGGGTTACGTATGGACGACTCAGAAGTTTCTGAAAGTCATCAAAACTAAAGGAGTCGCTAGCTTGAGATTGTGAAGCAGCCATTGAAGAAGGAACGAAGCTTTTCAGAGTTACGTAACAAGGAAGCAAAAGATGAACAGTGAATCGTGAAGGATGCGCAAGAAATATGAAACGTGATTTGGTAGCAGTAAAATGGCGTGTTTGGAGTTTATAAGGGTTTGCAAAGCGACGCACCTTTTCAAGTTATAGAAGGAAACAATGATTGAAATTCTTTGGGAATCGCGAACGTTGCTGGAGACGTGAAGTGAATATGACAAAATTCAATAATTATTATTAATTCTGCCATATTGGGGGGTAATTGTTGACACATAAAAATTCAGCCCAAATCGAACGGCCCAGAGAATAAAGCCCAATTGGAGGATCCCCAAATCAGATAGCCCAAAAAACGAAATCCAATTGAACGAATCAAGGTGAAGGCCCAAATAAGGGGCCCAATAGTGCGGTAACGCCATCGCCCAAGTTTGCAAGTCGCTCAGAGTCTGAACAAATAGAGTGGCATACGGTCGCCCGGAGTCTCGTCCAAATCTTCAAGTTGCCCAAGATATCAACAAATATAAAGCATTATGATTATCAAGAAATGCAGTTATTGAGGCAGTTGCTAAAGTAACCTTACCACGTTCCACGACTCAAGGAGTTCAATCGAAAGCGGTTGAACGATGCAAGATAATGGCAGCAGTTAAAAGGACAGTTTCATGACAAAATGGCCACTACAAAGAAAGTGGGTAGTTATAGGGCGATCAAGCAGTTTTTTAGAGCAGTTAATCACAAAGGGATCGCCTATGAAGTATAAAAGGGAGAAAGAACTTAGAAGCAAAGGACCGAATCCAAAACTCTCGAACAGAGAATATGTAATTTTCATTCCTTTAGCTTTTAGACTTAAACACTTCCTTTTCTGTAACTCGTGTGCTTGCGCCCCTTGGAGGCACGTTGTTTTCCGTTTCCAATTGTAAAGTTCATCGCCAATAAAAGGAACACCCCTTTTTGGGACATTGTCTCAAGAGGTTTCGTCCCTTACACAATCGTCTGATCCTCTTTAATTGTTAGCGAATTAACACGCGCGAAACAATTACCAATCCTCATCATGCCATCTCTTGCTTGTCTCCAGTGTTACTCCCATGAAGAAACCAGTTGTTAGTTCCAGATTTGCAGCTTCTTCATCCTCCAAAACTCGCTAAGCCACTGTAAACGAGACTCAACATGGCCTCAATGAATCTTTGACTCTCTATTTTGAGTAAGCAATGTTGTAAATTATGTACTTACAAGCATCAGAACACAATATATATTTCAGTACAATTGTTCCTCTGTTTATACACAATTGTCTCCACTTTCTTTGATGGGTCCCAGAATTAAGTCCTGAGAAAATCAAGGAGCAAACGCCTGGGAAAGGATAATGAGTTTGTTTGTTCCTTCTAAAAATGTTTGAATTTATTCTACATTGGCAAAATATTATTGTTAATAATAGTTAACAGGTGGATGGTAATCGAGTGTATGAATGCTCCTTTCAAGATATCCCATCAAACATAATCAGTTTTTAGAAGATTCGACTTGATTGGAAATTTTCAGATCAAAACTTCTCATTTTCCTTATCTTATATAACATTTTTGTTTAATGTAATATAGTGGATAGAATAATTAACAATTTTCATCACAAGTCTCTTTCTTGATCTCATTGACATTATTCAATGGTATCGTTCTATTTACAGACGTGCAAAATTTGAATCTTTGGACATCATTTTTGTTGCAATTGAGCCACCCTGTGAATGTCCGATAGTGTGACTCAATGGAAATACTAATGTGGTAGTCTAAGCTGACCATTAGCTTCATAATCACTGATAGAGTGAATCAATGGCATTGTGTTTGTTACATGAATGAAAAATAGAATTTAGTATTGATACCAAATTATTGCAGCGAAACCAAGAAAGATTCAATACGTATGTGAAATATCCATTGATTTTCAAGTATCAGTGCAAGTTTGTTGATCTTTCACAAGAATACCAAAATGAGAACTCTAAAAAATTTTATTCAATAAGCAAAATCCAAAGAAAAACGATGAAGTCTTTGAACTTCGAATATAATTCTTGCTTAGAAAGACAAAGCAGAAACCAAAAATAAGCCAAAGGCTTAAAGATGCCCCTATTACAGCGTGGTTCGTGCTCGTGCTCGTGCTCATAAGGCTTAATTTATTTGTTTTACGTATTGTAATGTATAGAACAGTTAACAACGTTACCCATTGCCCCTGTCGTCATTGGCATCTACCGATCCATTTTTGGCTCGTCTATGATCTAATAGAGGGTGCGAATAGGTTTCTTAACAAACTGAACTGTCAATTTGTACTGTCGTGCCAACTAGTCCACCTGTGGACTCAGCGGTGCAGTATTGTCTTTCTGTATCCTGGGAAGGATCTAGATTTTTGTATTGATACCAAATTATTGAAGCGAAACCAAGAAAGATTCAATAAGTATGTAAAAAATCCATTGATTTGCAAATATCAGTATTTGGGGAGTGCAAGTTTGTCGATCTTTCACAAGAATACCAAAATGAGAACTCTAAAATTTTATACACTAAGCAAAAAACAAAGAAAAACAACGAGTGTCTGAACTTTTGAGTAGAATTCTTGCTTAGGCTTAACTAGTCCCCTACTACAGCGTGGGTCATGCGTGGGTCATTCTCATGCTCATGCTCATGCCTATGCCTAGCTGTGCCTCCGTGCTATCTACAGGTGGTCCGGTCCAACTCCAACTCCAACTCCAACATTGCCTCTGACGAACTAATTACAGCTAAGAATGAGAATTATTTACCGATGCTAATTACAGTCAAGAATGATTGGTCAGCCTCTATACTCCAACAATCATTTTTGCAATGAGCACAAGTGTAGCCAAAATGAGTATTATAGTCAAAAAGCATAGCCATAAAAGCCAGAAGCTAGAAATCTTGTAATCCCCCCTTATCCTCATGGAGAAGTGTGGAGTAATCTGCTGCATCTGAAGGGCATAAATGATGAAAGTCAAAGCCATGACGAAGAACACGAGTGATTTCAGATAAAATGCTCCCGAGTCTCGAACCAACTGCGACCACGTGATGACGATCACCATAGTTATGTTCACCAAACATATGGTCGTGACTATTAATATAAAGTAGAACCCCTTTGGTACCTCCATTAGACTTTTAATGCCCGTCAGGTGGGCCTCTGCAGGATCGATGTTGGGACGAGTTGAGATTGTTGCAAAAGCCCCAGCAATGTCAAAAATGAACAACATCCAAAGCACATTTGCTTGTGTTGAGTATCTCATTGCCTTTGTGTTTTCGCATAGAGAAACTTGCCTTTCCAATTGAGAATTGATGAACGAATGAAGCTGGTTGATAATAATGTCCCTTTGGATCAAGGGGCGTCATGTCACTCATGGCAAAACTTCCTCTTTCTTGCCACCATCTTGTGGTTTAGTAGCCTAAAGAAAATTAGGTATGAATAAAACAAACGCGCAAATATTTTATTTTCACATTAGGAAAGCACGACTATGCATGTCCGGTGCATATATGAACTCATTCAAGAATAGTTATTAAATTAGAACTCGAATCCGATTAGCATAATTGGATCAATTTACAATTGAACTATCATTTGTTCACTTAAAGCTGTTGAGTTTGCCGATTTTTATTTTTATTTTCAAATTTTCTACAGATTTTTTTTTTTAATTGAAAAAAAAAATGGAAAATACACAATTTTGAACCAAAGACTTCACGTTTCAAGGGTCAAGCTTTTTTACTATGATAACCAATTATTTAATACAATATATATGTATATAGTTTCAAATATTTATCATACTTGCTTTCAAATTATATTAAAAATTTTAATTGACAATTAATATAGACAAAGAGGGGCTTATTATAAATGCTAATAAAAATAATAATCAAATTAAAAATCATATAAATAAATTTATTGAATTTAAGTTAAATTAAAATCTAAATTTTAATTCCTACTAAACAGGAGATGGTCTAAGAGGACACAATAAGGATATAATTCATACGCTCATGAACTTCAATAATCAATCAAAAGGGCTTGCCTACGATGAATTTCAAGGAAACCTGTTATTGTTGAATATAATTTTCTTACAATTGATCTCTTGCCCAAAGGGGATAAGATAAAAACTTACTACTGTTGACATGGTAAGAGAACATGACTATTTCAAACACATCAACGGTGGAAAGCTTTTATCCTGCTGTCAGCAGATTAGAAGTGATGAATCCATCTCTCATATGTTACACCGACAACTTTTGAGCCAACTTAGAATAAAGCAAGCAACAACCTTTAGGCGACATACCTCAATTGACAACTCCTCGTCGTCCAGCCTGTGTCCTGTCAGTGATGCAGCAGATTGAGGGTTCGTTGAGAGGGAAGGCATGGGCAGTTTGTTAAACTTGCTCATCTGAGTTCCCATTTTTCTCTATTTTTTTGTCTCTTTTATCCAGCATTTGAACTTCTGCAATTTCTTTGAAACGATAGAAAAAAAAATCATAAATATGAAGTTTCTTGGAAACAGGAAGGGGCCAAGATTGAAAGTTATCAAGAAGCTTGCAACAGAAAAAAGCTTTCAGAATACGTTGATTTTTTCACGCAAGAAGAATTATTGACAAGAAATTATAGTAAAAAAACAAGAAAAGACGGCAAAAGCAAATTGAAAAACTTGCTCATCTGAGTTCCCACTTCCCATCTTTCGCTACTTTATCTCTTTTATCCAGCATTTAGACTTCTGCAATTTCTTTGAAACAATAGAAAATAATAAATATGAAATTTCCTGGAAATGGGTAGGGGCCGAGTTTGAAAGCTTGCGACAGAAAGTAGCTTTTAGAAGACATTGATTTTTTCACGCAAGTAGAATTATTGACAAGAAATTTTAATAAAAAAAAAAAAGGAGACGGCAAAAAAAATTTAATAAAGAAAGTGTTGGGTTTTTGATACCCAATAAATCCCGAACTATGATGTTAATATGAGTTAATATTATTTTATAGGTATAGACCGATGAATGAAATAAGTCCAACAACCAAGTCCATGAGCTACACCCGACCCAATTGTATTCCTTCTGGATGGCTTGAATCTTGACCCGTTTACCTCTTTAATGGTGCAACTTAAAGCCTAACCCTAGAGTATATATATGGATATAACCCTAGCCTCTTTCTTGTGATGTTTTGTGAGACTTTGTGTGAGAAAAAGGAGAATCTCGACTGTCCTCTTGGTGAGTAAAAAAACAGCCCCTAAAAGTATCCAAAACACCTGTTTACTTTGTGTAATTGGTGGTTCCTTCATAGTATACCTTTGTGGTGTCTTCTCCTAGCTTTTGTGGCCACAAATCATCATCCTTTCTTGTCCTACGTGGGTAAGATTGAATAGCAACCGAGGTGAATCAGATTGATTGTGGTTTGGAGCCGGTTGAATTGGTTGTTGGTAGAGAAAGGTATGTTGGACTGAGCTTGGAAAACCACCGTTTGAAGATCATTCAAGAGAGCTTCGGCAACAATTGGTATCAGAGCTTCAAGGTGAAGGTTTTGGCTCGTGAAATCTACCAGAAATCGTCCAAAAAATCGGCAGAAACGCAGTAGCAATCAGATTGAAGAGCTGTCCAAAAACTGTCAAAATCAGTCTCTATTTTTCGCATTTTCTGATCAATCCAGAAGGAGTTTGGGAAAATCGAGACCACTGGTGTGATGTGTAGGAGGAAGCGCACCCTGCAGGTAGGCGCGTGACGGTCAGATTTGGCGCGTGTGGCGGTGCGTGTGGACCACACGCACAGGGAAGAGACGGCGCGTGAGGGCGCGTGGGAGGGAATCCCGAGGAGGTCTCTTCAGGCAGTTTGTTCCTCATATTATTTCTGACATTTTTCGTGTTGAAAGTTTTCTGTTTCAAGGTACGCAGTAGAATCTGGACAGCATTGTTATTTGGACGTTCGGGACTCGATCATGATTTTTTGGTTGCTACAGTTTTCAGAGACTTTAGGACGAATAGTGGTAATCCTAAAGTGGTGAATTCGCATCTCTCGATATTTACGGACTTTCAGACGTGGTCCACTCGGTATCGTATTCTTTACTTTTTATTATTACAGTTGAAATAAATGTGTAGAGTAATTTATTTTTTGCATTAGAGGTCATCGTGTGGGGTGACATTACGTTTGAGGTTACCATGAAGGGGTAACCATTGCCTGTTGCTAGACCTAGGAATTATTTGTTAATTATTTGCGTTAAATTCTTTGTGAATTTGCTATCAATTTTTTCTACATTATTAGAATTGCATGTGGCTTTAGAAAAGTTTACTGGACTATTTTATGTGAATTATGTTCATACTTTACTTGTGGTCATTATTTGGCGTTGGTGGAAAATGTAGGTTTAAGACAAATGCGAAAAATAAAATATATTTTAACTGTGGTAAAATTTGAGCATAGTTGAAAGAGATTGTCCTAAGATGATAATAATAGGTAAAATGAGGATAGAGATAAGGCGAATGTGACTTTAGCGTCGAGTAGTGATCCTAATGAGGTTTATTGAGAGAATAAACCTCGTTCTTACATTGTATTTGTGTGTAATCCTTTCTGTATGTATGTGGTCACTTAATTTTATTGCAATATTAATGTTACACTTTCAACTTGTTTGATGTGTGTAATTGCATGAATTGAGGGTGATCTTATTACTTTGTGTAATATGTTTACATGCATATTGGGTTGAGTTTTGTGGCGTACTCTATTTCTTCTGTGAGTGGTGTGAGAGTGTGGTAGTGAGAAGAAAGTTGGGCAATCGTTTCTCTCCTTTATCTTTGTGAGCCTGTGTGGTTTGAGAGATTATGTGAGGCAGCCATGTTAGGGTTATATTCTTCCTCTTTGTGAGCCTCCTTTGTGAGTGTTGTGAAGTAACCATCTCTTTTTTCGATTTTTTCTTTATGAGTGCCACCTTCTATATTTTCTTTGCGGAATTTTTGGAGCTTTGGTGATTGAAGTAATCTTTGTGGTCACCGAAAGGTATTGATTTGTCATAGTGAGTTTGAGATGCATTAACAGTGTGTTGTGTGTCTTGAGAAAGTGGAGTATAGATGTCTAGGCGTACATGGTGGTTTGTACCGGGGATGTGGAGTGTGACATTTGGATCACGAGTGGAGATGTGATCAAATGTCTAGGATCCTTTATATGGATAGAGACCTTGATCAGGTGGAGTGTGAGAGAGACACTTCTATCACTTCTGTTAGGTGGAGACCCATTATCCACGTAGGTTGGGAGAAGTGATGTGGAGATAGAGGATTATCCCATGGACTTAGGATCTATTGTGACTTGTCAGTTAGACATGAGTTAAGTGATCTGTCTAGTGAGCATGGTGGGCGATGAGAGGAGATATGTGTTCTCGAGGTGTGAGCAACACGAAATGGGATATGATAAGTGTGGTGGATCTTTTCTTAGGGTCATTTATGCATGTGTTGCATATGTATTTGACCGTGGTTTGATTGACTTGGTGTTAATCTATGGTTTTATGTGAACGTGTTTTTGAAAAGATTTGTGTGTGTTATCTTATAGTATATCGTCATCGCACGTGTATTTGTTCTTGATTGTTTACTGTCAAATATTTGCTTCTACTTGGGTGTTTTCTGACCTTAACCCCAGTGAGTACATGGAGCAGGTATGGTATGTGTTTCAAGTTGGAAACACGAGGTAAGGTCTGTGATCCAATTTTATTAGCTACCTTGATTATGCAAGTGCTAATTGTGTGTTTTGACTGCTTGCAGATTTATTGGGCATCAAGGTGGAGATTTGTTGGGTTTTTGATACCTAATAAATCCCGGGCTATGATGTTAATGTGGGTTAATATTATTTCATATGCATAGGCCGATGAATGAAATAAGTCCAACAACCAAGTTTATGAGCTACATCCGACCCAATTGTATTCCTTCTGGATGGCTTGAATCTTGGCCCGTTTACCTCTTTAATGGCCCAACGTAAAGTCTAACCCTAGAGTATATATATTGATATAACCCTAGCCTCTTTCTTGTGATGTTTTGTGAGACTTTGTGGGAGAAAAACGAGAATCCCAGCTGCCCTCTTGGTGAGTGAAAAAACAGCCCCTAGAAATGTCCAAAACGCCTGTTTACTTTGTGTAATTGGTGGTTTCTTCATAGTATACATTTGTGGTGTCTTCTCCTAGCCTTTGTGTCCACAAATCATCATCCTTTCTTGTTCTACGTGGGTAAGATTGAATAGCAACCGAGGTGACTCAGATTGGTTGTGGTTTGGAGCCGATTTGATTGGTTGTTGGTAGAGAAAGGTACGTTGGACTGAACCTGAAAAATCACCGTTTGAAGATCATTCAAGAGAGCTTCCGCAACAGAAAGACTTGTCCATATGGATAAGGTTGACTTACAATTGCTGAGAAGGTAATTTGGCAGAAAATATTAGACATTTTGTTAAAAAAAGGAGAAACCTGTCCACGGACTCAAATCTTTCCAGGTACAAGATTCGCCGAGTTTGCTTATACAGTAATAATGGTGAGATCGGTAGTAGTGGCATCAATAGTCAGTATTTTTAGAGAGTTCGTAGCCCAGTTAGTCAGTTTTTCGTTCAACTTAAATTGGAAATTCATTTGTCGAAATTCAAAATTTTCGTAAATATCTGTTTCAGGAAGAAAGAAACAAGGACTTGGAAAACATATGCATGCCGGAAGCAAAGAAGAGTGATTCTATTGGACAATTTGAGGTAATTTCTTCACTTGCTTTTATTGTTTACGATAAAGTGAATCTATTTGATGTTAAAGGATAAAAATCCTGCATCGGTTAAATACCGAAATATTAACAAACTTAAAAAGATATCGGGCTACTCCTCTTAATAAAGTTGATCTTTTAAGATAAAACTTAAGTCTTAACATGGTATTAAAGTTCATTAAACTCCAACGAGCAATTCGATCTGATTAAGACTATAAAAATGAGCACACGGATTTTAAGACTGGTCTGCTCAAACGAGCTACCATCTTGTGGGGGCATGCTGAAGGATAAAAATCCCACATCGGTTAAATACCGAAATATTGATCAACTTAAAAAGGTCTTGAGATACTCCTCTTAATAAGGTTTACCTTTTAAGATGGAACCCCAAATTTTAACATTTGATTCTTACTCACAGATAGTTGAAAAAAAGAAAAGGATTTTGTGGTTGAGACCATTGTCTAATGAAGAGTTTAGTATAATTGCATATTATGTTACCTAAAGCATCAAATTGATATGACCTTTGTAATTCTGATCAATATGGTAATTAATTTTAATAGTTACTCTTGGAATTTGCTCAAGAATTAACAAAGGCTATTTTCTGGTTTGCACCTGTGTTATCAGTGAATTGAATCTCCATAAACTCCGTACTTGCTTTTGCACCTATATTCCACTTAATTTCAGACATGTTAAAATTCCTTCAAAAAATAAATAAATAAATAAATAAATAAATAATAATAATAATAATAATAATAATAATAATAATAATAATAATAATAATAATAATAATAATTCAGTCAGGTTAAAGAGTAGGTAAAAAAAGTGAATTATATCAATTTCAAAATTAAGTGTTTTTAGGCGTCCGGCGGAGGAGCTAAAGGGATGACAGAGTTATTTTTTGCACTGGACTAATACATACCTCATAAAAAAAGGGCTTGGGTTTAGCCTAGGGCTGCCCTCTGTTTCATTATATGATTCCTGTCTAGAAGGGGACATTGGTACACAATCTTTGTTGAAATGGCTAAAACCTGGAATTAGAACTCCACATTGTTATTAGAAATCGATTTAGATACTTTTGATCTTAAACATGTTCGTTTATGAAACAGTGTTGTGTCGTACATGCGAAGCATCATTCACACTGCACTTTGCATTGTTTTCTATTACATCATTCACATGGCACTTTGCATCTATAAGCGAGTTAACTTCAGACAGGGTTAAAGTGTAAAGACTATGTAAATAAAAAAAAATTATATCAATTTGAAAATGAAATGTTTTCAGATATCGTTATTTGATTTCCGTATAAACTGTAACAAATGTTTGTTGCAGCCATGTCTACATGAGAATTTCCAAAGATTTGCCCCGTTGATAGATTGTTGGCATTCAGTGATAATTCTTGTTTAGCTTTTCCTGTTATACATAATTTGATAGATCGCACTTCATCTTACATTTAGAAAATGTTTAAATAAAGCTATCATTGAAGGAGAACTTTGAAATGCACTATATTTATATATCTTAGTAAGTATTTGGGAAGCTTTGCATTCCAAAGAGGTAAGATAAATATTCGAGAGTGGATTCATATTGTTATTTTAACTCCGTTTCTTGTGCAACATTTTGAGCCTCAAAACAGCTGATAAATATCGTTATCCTCACTCTATCTTTGATGCAGAATTTTGAGCATCAATCAGCTGATGGAGATACAGAGTTAGCCAGTATGAATTTCGGGATCCCCACAAAAAAAATCAAATGCCAACTCTCTGATGATTTAAATAATTTCAGCAGTAGCATGAAACGCAGCAACGATCATGTGCTGTTACTTCTGCTAGCCCTGATGATGATGGTAACCTTAGTGGCTGCGTCAAGGCATGGAGTCGTTCACGACCAGCCCCAAGAGAGACAAGATTCTGTTATTGCACTGCTATTCATACTGTGTAACTCAACGGCGTTTGTATCTTCATTAGCCGGGGTTATCTATCCCTTGCACGAATTCCCATTTAAGCCATGGCCACAGATTACTGTTTCTATGTTGTTTGGCCCCTATACGTTGCTTGTATTCAAGATATCACCAAATCAAGCTTTGCCTCAACTTGGCCTTTCTATTCCCATACTCTTAATTCCGGCAGCAAGAAAACTGTCTGACTTTGTTTGGGGGAAGTCATTTTCTGGATCCGGTGACACTTACCCTACACGACGAAGGTTTTATCCTGTGTTTTCTATTCTATTATCCTGATGCTGGTGTTACTTTTGCCATGCCGCTAGTTAATTTGTGTACTCTACTTTCTTGTATGGCTAGCCAATCTCTTGAATAGAATTTTGATGTGGTACAAAACCTTGCAGACGCTATGTATTTACTATTTTTACATGCTATTGCACAATATTTACAAGAAATAACTGAATAATATTATGTGATGCAACGTTGTTTACCTGCGCATTAGCCTTATCTTAGGAACTTCATTGCAATTTAATCCCAAATTTAGCCTCCGTTTGACAATTTTTTTTAAATGATTTATAAAGAAGAATAGCAAGAGGAATGGTAGTGAATCCTACAGAATGCATAAATAATATGTTATAAATTATGTATCCCAACGGAGGCTTGCTCTCTTGTTCTTGGAGAAGTGTGCGCACAAATATATACACATCATAACAAAAATGGGAACGAGCGAGCATCAAATTTCTTTCTCCATCCTGGTCGATGCTTAAGATGTCTGGTATACAAGTTCTTGTCCACACTCTACTTGCAAATTGATTTTAAAAGTGAGAGCTTTTATGTGACGAGTCAACAGATATGTTTTATGGATCAATAAGTCAGCATGAGCAGAAGACCTATCAGCAAGTTTCTGGAAATTAGAACTGCAGCCATACATGGAATATGAATTCAAAGTTGCAACTGATATTGATAAGCCTCATGTGACCAGAAAGATGGTTTACCATAGCGAAATAAGAAATCCACACGTTCATTATTATCACAGCTCAGTGTTTAAAGACAACTATTTACACTTTTTGCTCTATGCAGCAGTGTAAATTATCAGTCTTAAGTTGCCTAATAATTAATAAAAGCTTATTTTCCTCACCGACCTAGAAAAATGACCTCAGCCCGGTAAAAATTATTACTCATCTTTTCACCATTGTGAATATGACAATCTAAAGAAGAAAATTCAAGAGCCTAGGCCTCAGATCCTGCAAGCCGCCTCCTGGTAGCATTAGAGACGGACACTCGACCAAGTCTATCAGCTTCAATTGATACCATCCGTTCTTTCAGTGGCATATAATGCCGCATCCATACACCAGTGTACACCTGATATATAAAACAAAGATTTAAGACCAGCAGAATATTTTCACTAATGCGATAGATGGGGGAAAGCGTGACAGTTTTGAGGACTGAAGGCTAGCTAAAGTCCAATTTTCCAATTCAGGTTTCTTTATATATTTCAAGCCCAAACTAAGCAACCAAAAAGAGAGTCGGCGGGTTTGAAATGTTCGTCAGCTATAGATAGAATTTTGAATTTTCCTTTTCTTGGACAATTCTTGCCGGAACCAAGAAAATTTGTATCATAAAAAAATCAAGGGCACAAATCGGGAAAAGAACTGAAAGGAATGGAATGGAAGACAATATAACCTGTGCAGGTCGCATGATCTTTGTGTCGAGATCATCCAGAGCCTCTCGCCAGTGAGATAAATAACCAGCCATTCGAGGAATTGCAAACAAAACGGGGAAGAACTCCGTGGGAAAACCAATGGCCCTGAATTATAGTGCCGCAAGATTAAGAATATCTTCGTGACACTTCAGACTTCAGAGTAAAAAATTCCCTTTGCTTAATTAAAATAAAAAAATAGAGATCAATAAAATACAATTGACATTTCTCAGCTTACCTATAAATTAACCCAGAATAAAAATCAACATTTGGATACAACTTCCTCTTCACAAAATACTCATCCGATAAGGCAGCTTTCTCCAAATTTATTGCCACCTGCAAATGACAGGAGACTGATTCAGACTAAGTAGAAGCATTTGAATAGGTAGCCTTGATATTTTTGGAATATCAACTAAGGGTCTTTTAGCATCATAGAATTTTGGTTCTTGCATAATCTAAACGAGACATTGACCAACATCAGGTGTGAAATCATAGTCCTCGTACAAATTGGTTCATGCACAGTCGTGCATTGATGTCTGTCTACTGCACACTTATAACCAATGAGTTTAGTATAGAGACAGCGACATTAAGCAGCAGCAACAAGAAGAAGAAGCTAAGCATGAAGAATGGTTCCCAAAAACAGAGTCTCTTTACCCTACCAACAGAACCACGGCCGCAAGACTTGAATTAATGATCAACGATGCTGAAATTGAAATACCAGTAACTAACCGAGGATTACACTGACAAGAGCCACACCCCATGGGAACACTAGTTTTTCCAGCAAGCTTGTGAGACCAAAAGGCAAGGAGTGAAGTGTCAACATATTCCAATCAATGATCTAAATCATTGGTCAGATTCCTATAAAGAAATTCCAATCCCCCCTTTGTGACAATTTTCCTTTTCCCCCTTTTATCCTCGTATAGGAGGCCAGTTCTTCTTTTGTTCTTGATGTGTCCATCAAGAAGGTAACAGGGGCAAGGAGCAGCAGGTTTTGTCATCAAGGGTGCCTGACCATTTACTTATAGACGACTATTAATTTAAGATGTTTGTAACATGGTTCTTTATTAAATTCAAAATGGGGAAAAAAGGTCAAACCCTGGATAGGTTTTTTAAGAAAGCTTTTACTGACAATTTTATAGTGACATGATTTTAATCACTTTTGAACTCCATAGGGGAGACTTGGGTCCCTGCAGCATTCATTTTCATTTGCACAGTTGATTTCTATAGTGATTTCATGAGCAGATTCCATACTGCATAACTTTTTAACACTTGTGAGTTATAACTTGGTTACAGGCTCAATCACTTTGTCCATGAAATCCAAATGCTTCATGTAACCAGTACAGTTGAATTCACTCCCAAAAGAAACAAACCTACCTCAATCAGAGGATCTCGACCAACAATGGAAAAGACTTCTTCTGCAAGTTTCTTGATGACCTTTGCTCTGGGATCATAGTTTTTGTAGACACGATGCCCAAAACCTGACATCTTACGCTTCCTTGAAAAAAATTATACAACACATGCATGAGTTAGACAATAAGTAGAAGCATTTTTGTAACCATAAAAAAGATGGCTGCAACAGAAGGTTAACGACCTGTTCTTCACACCCTCAATGAACTCCGGTATTTTGTCAATACTTCCAATCTCACCCAACATCCTAAGTACAGCCTATAAAGCATACACAGTAAAGAAACTTTAGATCAATGTGGCTTATAACAATTTGAAGGTATACAAGCATAAG